GAGGGGCGGAGGGAGGGAGGGACGGGGCGGAGGGAGAGGGGCCGGGACGTGCGGCCTCTCCCGCGGGTGCTCCCCCCGCGGCCAGTCCCGCCGTGACCCGGCGGGTCCCGCCCTCCGAGCCACGGGGCGGGTTGGGGGCGGTGGGGTTGGGTAAGTGGGGGGCACCGCGCGCTCCCCCGCCCCCGCGCGCGCCCCCACGCTCACCCAGGCGCGCCTCCCGCGGCGGGTTCTCCATCAGCTTCTTCAGCACTAGCGGGAACGCGCCCGCCAGGCCCCGCCGCTCCTGCTGCGCGGCGGCCCCCGCGCTCCCCCCGGCTGCAGTGGGCTCTGGTCCTCCCGCCGCCGCCGCCTCCTGGTGCGCGGCGCGGCCGGGCATACTCCCCGCGGGCGGGCTGTCAGCAGTCACCGGCGGCGCGGGGCTGCGGCGGCGGCTCCCCGGGACCCGGCGGCGGCAGCAGCAGCGTCGAAGCGCGGAGCGAACGGCGCAAGCGCAGCCAGCTGACGCCCGGTGCGTGCTTCACTATTCATGAGCTTCGGGGCCCCGCCCCTCCCCGGCTCCTCCGCGCCCTGGGATTGGCCTGTGCCTCCCGAGGGAGGCGGACCCGCGCGGATAGGCCCCGCCCACATTGCCTTTCCCTCCCCGCTGCCTGCGCGGGCACGCGCCCCCCGCCCGCCGGGGCACGTGCAGGGGCGGGGCCTCCGCCAGGCTCATTAGCATTAGGAGCCCGGCCCCCTCCTACTCCTCCCGCGGGCGCTGCGTCACCGTCAGGAGGGCGGAGGAGGCGGGGGGAGGGAGCGCGCGCGTGGGCGGTGGAGGAGCGGCGCCCGCCTGCCGCGGAGCGCGCGCCCACCGCGCGCCTCCTGTGCCTGCGCGCGCACGCCTGTTTTTGCCGGCCCCTCAGCGCCTGAGGCGGCCGCGACCGACTGGGGGTCYGTGAGGGCGGTCTTGGCTGCGCAACGCCTGCGGACCCCTTACCCCCCGCCCCGACGCCAGCGCTCCAGCCCGCCCTTCCATATTCTCGTTAGGATCTCGAAATCACCTCTCTCGTGCGCCCTGGATTTAATCTCCCTCCGTCCCACACGATGCCCGCAGCGGCTTGCCTTACATAACATGGGCAGGGAGAAGGACTTCACTGCGGTGCAACCATGGGCGGGCTGCTGGGGGAAGGGAGGAAAGGCTGCCATTCCAAATTGTCAGGATCACAAGAAATCCTTGTGATTCTTCAAGCAGCCCCAGGGATGCCGTGCTGGGATTTAAGCTTCTGAACACACTAAGGGAAGCAAATGCTGGCAAGTTCGTTAGCGAGAGCACAGGCGGAAACTGGGGAGCATCCTCCACAGAATGAATAAATTCGCAGAAGTGGCAGATGCTACAGCCATAGGATTTTCCTGTCAGTAGTGGCTGCTCTTGGCTCGGTAGAATGGGCTGCAGTGAACCTAACTGCAGGTTAAAGTGCTGCGAGCCGGGAAAGGGAAGGGTGTGCTCCGCTGGTATCGGCCCGTCTACATCCAACAGAGCCGCGGAAGCCAGAGCAGAGSTGTCCCCACACGTGTCTGCAGAAAAGAGATGTCTTCGTCTAGGTAGGCACTTGGGCATTGGCTTAGCTTCCCCTCCACAAGCCTCAGACATTTCATTTCAGTGGCGAGGCACAATTTTACCTGACCCTTACTAATAAACCTTGATGGTCTTTGTGACATAAAAAAAAAATCACATCTGAACTCTTCCGCACGTGCCCCAGGAAAAGGAACGGATTTGAAATCACATGAAGTAGGTGTTTTCCTCCATTGTCTTACTGCAATGTGGCCAGGGGACGTCTCCATCCAACCTGGGCAGACGTGGAGCTGCCCTACCCAGCAGCTACTTTTCTTGCATAGGCTGGGAGGCTCAATCTGCTGCTTTCTTCCCAGGGAACTGGTGGGACTCCCGCTGCAACTCCTGCACACATACTGCCCAATGAGAAGCTTGGAAAAGGACACCCTGTTAATACAGGCTGGAATGGGGCAGGTTAATACATCATTTATCAAGGCTGATAAATTCAGTTGCAAGAAGCGGGCAGAACAGGCCACGGTCTGCTGCCCAGCATGCTCCAGGGCTTCTACGTGCCCTCCACTAACTCATTCTGTCTTGCCAAGCTCAGCTGGCAGGAAGAAAAGGCACATGCATGAAAGGGAAATGCCACTTCACAGAGGGTAATGAGACACAGATGTCAGACCACACATGACAGAGGCAGCACACACAGCTTTATAAGGGGCAGCAAGCTCGCAGTGGTACTTTTGTCTAGGAAACTGCTACTGGTAGGTGGTAGATAGTGAGGCCACAAAGGAGCAGATTTTAGGCAAGTGGACGCAGCCAAAGTTGGGCAGCCTGCAGGCTTCTCATTTAGTTATGGCTCTCACGGTCACTGTGTACCATTGTTGTCAATGCTGGTGGCCTGCAAGGATGATGGTGTGCCTTAGTACTGTACAACACTCCTTAAAGGAATAGGGTTTGTGCATATACCCCCTACAGAGCTCAATGGCAGCTGCTCTGCTGTGTAATGTCTGTATGAAGGAAGGTTATTAAAACCACTSAGCTTTTATTCCAGGACTTTTGCCTTCAAATTGACCATGTTCTTCCTCCAGCACAGTTCCCCCCATGCTCCACTGTTCTAAGGTTTCTTCTGCACCACCCTGAGATGTGACTTTGCTTGGAGAGGCTCTATACTATATAGTGTTAGCTGCTCTTCCCAAAGCAGGAGAGAGGGAATTCCTGAGGAGCATTCCTGTGGGTTCCCTCTCACATCACCCTGCTCCAGCATTAGTGCTGCTCTGCCAGCTAGGAGGGAGGCTGCCCTGAGAGCTTTTCCTCACTGCCTCGCTGGGATTAGGTGCTCAAGCAATTGAATGGGCACTGCACCACCAGAAAATGGGCACTGCACCACAGGCTGTATCTTCTTCCTTAAGCTGGAATCTGCCTGGGATTTTTACATTTTCTTTCACTGTGTAGCTGAGAAGGAAGAGTGGAGGACAATGAGATGTGAGGAGAGGAATGCAGTAGCCTTAGCTGTAACTGCTGGGAATCTTGTCGGGGCAGATGATGCAGAACAGCCCAGTTTTGGGGTGCAGCAGGGAGGGAAGCAAGTGACAAGCAGCTCACAGCTGGGCACATGGTGTGAAGGGAGAGGTGTACAGCACGGAAGGTTTGAAGAGCAGAATAGAGAATTTCTGAGGGACACCTGAGAGCCAGCAAATCCAGATGAGTACTAAGTATGGAGACCCAGGAGGAGAGAATTGAGCTCTGTGGGAAGAGGGCCATGATGGGAATGCTGGCCTGGAGAGGGAGGCAGCATAATAAAGACAGTTCTGAGGATTACAGGAGGTGATGCTGAGGGGCAGGGTGGTCCTGGGGCTGAGGAAGAAAGCTGCCACAAAARAGCACTTGCAGCTGCCAAATAAGTCACACTGAGTTAAGACTAAATTATTCACTCTGCAAATCATTCATCTCTCTTCCATCCCCTACTCCAAACAGATAGGTCTTGCCAGCACTCCTCCCTTGGATTCATTGAGTTCACTTGGCTGTGGAGAGCACAGATCCCAGAAAAGCAGCCAAACACAGCTTAGCCACAGAAAGGCTCTGCTCCACACGAGGCTGTTACTGCCTTCTCCCAGACAGTTCTACTTTCTACCCAGGTACAGTCAGCTTGGAAAACATGCCCTGGTCCACACAAACAGTGGGAGTTCATACGATGGAATAAGTAAACACACCTGCTAGTGGGCAGTCTCAGCAAAGAAGAGAGAGAGCTCACAGGAGGTAGCAGCAGAGCAATGTGACAAAATGAGCCCTTTGGAGGGTAGGGCAGCTCCCTTTGCCCGATTTCCCTTTCCACAGTGAGCTGTGCATCTGCCATAGGTCTCACTGTATTCCATCAGGTGGAGGCAGCTGCCCTTCCTACAGGAACGCTTTACTGTCACAGCAAACAGCCTCTTCTCCCATTGACCCTGGAATGAGAGCTGGKTCCCTCTCCATACTGTGCTTTCCTGTTCCTGGGTCCTGTGCCCCTCAAGACTGCACAGCTATCTGCAGGTCCTCGTAGTAACTCTCTTGAGAAGAGCAAGCTCTGTGCATGTTTCTTTCTGTGAGTTCAACTCACTCATGCCTAGCCATAGGCTTGTTGAGCTGGGGTACTCCCATACACCTCTTCAGCACTCAGCAATGAACATTAAAACACAACAACCAAAAAGCAGCTTGCYAAGGATGTGTAGCATCCTATCCAAAACCAGAGACTACTCAAGTTGTGTGATGGGTGCTTGGAACAGACCCAGAGACAGAGAAACAGTCAGTCCAGCATGAGCAAAGTGCTCGTCCATCATGAACAAAGTGCTCAGCACAGCAGAAGTCCAAATTAACTAACCTTCTGGGTCCTTTTCATTTGTTTTCTAAGATGCTGTGCAGAGAACTGGAAAGCCTAGGTGTTCAGAAGTGCTCTTGCAGAAAAAAAAATGCAGCATTTGCTGTGTTCTCTGCCCCAGCCTTTCATTGATAAACAACTGCAGCATCAAAGAAAGTTTGCAGAGAGTCAGCCTGCCCCATGCAGGCTGGGCTCTCTGGACAGTCTCAGTCTGGGAAGAGGCAGTGTCTGGAGGCTCAGAGGTTATTAATCATAGGACAACAATGAATGGCAATCCTGGAAGTTGCTTCTATGTGAGCATGAAGATTTGTGCCCAAGCCTTTTCTGTGCATGAATCTTTGTGGGTTTCCAAGAAGTAGCTGAGCACAGAGATTAAAAGGATCAGGAGCTCAGCACTCTTGACTGATTTTGTAATCAATCCATTCCTGCTGTTTTTCCTCCGAGTTGCATGACATGCACAGTGCCAGAACTCCATATCTGATTTGGACACTTTGGGGAAACACATTTGAAGGGCTTGCAGCAAACAAGATCTGCTCCTGTCTCACCTTGCAACTGAAGGAGGGGAAGGAGAAATCAAAACAAAAACCCCAACACACATTTACTCAATCCTACCTGTCATCTTGTTGGTCCAGGGCAAGGAATACTCCAGTAGGGACTTCAGGACTTCTGGAAAGTCCAGGGCAGTGGGGCCCCCAGGGGTGTTGCAGCTTGACATGTCCTGTCCTGGGACTGTGCCAGTAGGGCTAAGGGAGGGCCAGGTGTCTGGCCACCAGCGTTACACCCCGCTCTTCTGGGCGTTGCAAGACAGGCTCGGAGGCACCCAGAGCAGATTTTCCAAACTACTCTGGCTGAGAAAAAACAAGGAGGAAGGGAAACAGCCTAGCAGAGACGCAGCTTGCCCGGCTGTCTTCACCTCCCCCTCTCCCACTCTGAAGTGGCCAATTGTGGAAATAGCTTGCAGCCTTGCAGGGCTGGGCCGGGCGCCTGGCCAGCGTGGTTTTACAGGGCCTCTCCCAGCCAATCCGGCAGCAAAGAACTGGGCCAGTTATCTAACTTGCAAAGGCAGCACCCTTTTCCTTCCCAAGGTGTTATAACAAATATACACGTTGAAAGGGGAAAAAAAGCCAAGTGCACCCTGTCAGGGGTACACATGTCGGCTGCAAACACAACAGCAAAGGGAACCTCTGACGAGCTCTCAGACCCTGAGGAGCTCCAAGCTGTGCAAGCTGCTGCAGGGAGATACACATGCTGTCTGCATCTGCTAACTTTTTAGCGCTCTGAGATGCAGATAGTGATGTTATTTGTACGTGATGCAACACTTACTATGTGTCCCTTCTAAGTCAATATTGGTAATAGCTGAAGGCATCTTTCTTATGAAGTGCATAATCCCAGAAATACAGTATTTTTCTTAAGTGGCAGAGAATTCTATCAGAAAACAAACAGTCTCCATTCAGAGCAGTTATATACAGTAAGAGAGTTCATGAACCCTGCATATTCCCTGATAATAACTGGTTAAGTAAGATCTTCAGCACACAAATCCCCTCCTTTTCTGTCAGTAAAATTTTTAGCATGGAGGAAAGGACTGGAGATAGTAAGACACAGGTCTGATCCTCTTTATCAGAACCTGGCATGGGAAGTAGCATCTTACATGTGCTGGGGCTTTTTTTTCTTGCTGGGTGTGATATTTCAACAGAAGTGCCTTTATTTCTCAGTTTGTTCCTGTCCATTTTGCCAGGCTCAGCCTTATGGTGCCAGTCTAAGTTGGTAGGAACGAGGTATTCCTACACTGGTCTGTGAGCCCTAGCAACTGGACACAGCCCAGCAAAACCATGTATGGTGCTTGGTCCCATCAGGAAATGCATTTGATTTAACCCAATAGAAATCAAAAAGAAAGAATTACCTAGCCAGGTTGGGTGGTTGAGAATTTCAGTTTAGATGGGAAAGCCTCATGATCTAGATCCCAATCTATTAGGCTCAGAAATCACACAATAGTTGGTTTAGTAGAATTTGTAATTATGATACCTCTTCGGATTTTGAGCCTAAGTCATACCCATTAGTCATAACTATCAGTGATGAAGCCATGCAGGGAAAACAGTCCCATACGACCCCTGGGCTGYTACAGTGTTCTCCACCCACCCACAGCTGGAGCCAGCAGACAGACTCTTCAGATGGTCAGTGCATTCTGGCTGCTGGGAGCAAGAGATAGATCAAATATCTCCTTCCTGGAGCACAGCCTGCCAGCCAGGAGGTCCATGTCCTTTCCTGAAATCTTCTGATCCATTCTGGAAGACCAGAATCACTCAGTCATGCCATGCATCATTGATGTTTGGGACAGCTACTGTCATATATGCCTACTTTTGCTTCTCATCCCAGGCTGGCAAGGGAAAGTGACTGAGAACATGGTAGCTGTCCAGTGCCAGGTGCAGCTGGACCCCCTGGTTTTGTCCCAGGCTTAAACTTGTTGTGAAAGCTGGACAAACATCTGACCTCATGTCTGAAGGGACATGAGGACTTTAGAGCCGCTTCTGCGGCAATTGACTGACATTTATGGCTTCAGAAAATGAAGATGTTAATTCAGAGAAAATTCATGGAATCATAGAATGGTTTGCGTTGGAAGGTAACTTAAAGGTCATCTAAATTGTCCCTTAGCAGTTTGTAGTATTAGCCTGCAATGGACATCTCTAAGTTTTTGTCTAGAGATCTGAGAGTGACAAAATATAAATCTCATCTTATATTTGTCATGCCCACTAAGTCTYCTACCAATACTGTATGTCCTTGATTCAGAATCCCTGAACAATGAGCTCCTGCCCACAAGAAGAGCTTGGGTAACATCACTAGCTGGATGCATCAACACCACCCTGTCTTCAAGGCCCAAGGAATTAGAAACCATACTATGGAGCAGAGACAYAGCAGTGGGGAATGTCTGTCTGCCCCTGTGTCCCCGCCATGGAGAGCAGAGCACTTATGCTGCTTTAATGAATGAAGTTGAAATGTTGGCTCTGAAAAACTGCTGGCATAGCCATAGATTGCATCACTTGCGCTGGCTGCACTGTTGTCAGATCAGACGGGTTTTTACTGGTTTTGTGATCCCATTTTAGTGGAGGTGCCGGCAGCTCTTCTCCATCCATCAGTCAGAAGCCCAGTCAGTCCTTAAAAGATGTTTTCTCACARACTCAACCAGCCATGGTCAATTTCTACTGGCTCAAACTGGGTGGCACACAAAAGGAGGCACCTTGGAAAAGGTCAAACTTCAAGAACAGCATTTTAACTGGCAGAAACCAGGGCTACCTTCAGTGTATTTTCTGTAGGTCTCTTGCTGCAGCTACCCACATCACCCAGCAGTGCTGGATGAACCTCTTGGCACATTTACCCAAGGAGTGTTCAGCAGTCCTGAGGGGAGGAGTGTGGGTCCATACTCTTCCTCCTTTTACATTTTTATTTGAAAGAGTTGACCTTTTTTTTTAAGCAACCAATGCTTGTATCTTCCTTCCCCCTGACCCCTTTGCCTTTCTGCAGTTGCTCAGGTTCTTCTGCTGGCATCAAAGCATGTAAAGGTCTCTTTTAAAACCTCTAATTCTACTCCTGTCTCTAATGGGATATCTCGAGAGAGGTCTGCCATTGGGCCCAAAGTGAACTGTAGAGCAAGAGTGCTTAGCTGTTACTCAAAGGTACAGTCTTGCTGGCAGTTTGAGACCCTAGAAAATTGTTTCAGACATTCAGACCTCTGATACAGCTCTGCTTATTACAAGGAGCTGGGTGATGAGGYTCTTTCTGCATTTCTCCAAGCTGCCATCTTTCCCTCAGCCCCAGGTGTATTCCCTCAACTCCTTCACAGGGCCCCTTTCACAGTGCTTCTTGAGCRGCCTTTCCACTGTTTCCCCTTCTGCCAGTGTCTTGTAGCCACCCTCAGACTCAAAACAAGAGCTGGTGGCACATTTGTGTGCCTCCTCCATCAGAAACTCCTTCATAATATTGCTGTGGGTCTTGCCCTTGGTGGTGGCACCTAGCTGCACATCAATGTATGAGGCTACCACTACAGAAGGGAATTTAGTTGTTTCTCAGGTGTATCTGAAAGCACAGCTCATGGGGGGCCCACCAGCACCAGCAACATTTTACCAAAGAAACACATTAGYGGTTATTATTACTAATTGCTGTTTTCTCAGCTTCCACCAATAAGAAGAAACCTTGGCTTGGTAATCTAATGAAATGTGTTCTCTTAGAACGTAAGAACTTTCTGTCTGATTTTCTAAGGACAGGAAGCTTATGCAACAGTATTATCCATCCATCCATCCATCCATCCATCCATCCATCCATCCATCCATCCATCCATCCATCCATCCATCCATCCATCCATCCATCCATCCATCCATC